AGGAGTAGGAGTAGGAGTAGGAGTAGGAGTAGGAGTCAAGCTAGCCAGCTCGAGCGAGTCAAGCATGGCATGCCCAGTCCCACCCGCCCTCCCACAACATAAGAAGCAAAGCTGGCACAACTGGGGGCCGAAGTCACACCGGCCAGCCGGTTTGGTACAGCTGATGCGGCCGCGATGGCGGTTGCCGACGGGAACTGGCGAGCGCGTGTTGAATGCCGCGCACGCATTGCCAGACGAGTCGAGAATGGCCCGGTACACCGCAGGAAGCCAGAGGTGGCCGGAGGAAGCCCGACGGTCTGACAGGACACCCCAAAGCATTTTTGTGAAAAAGCATTGGGTTTTTGATGTTTTTATGTTGAAATGCTTGCAAACACACGGTGTTCGGTAGGATTCTGACATGAACGCGCGAGTGTGCTCTTGGTGGTATTTTTTGCACAGGATTCGCGGCCTGGGTGCATGACAGAGCATCGCGAGTGCACCGCGCGATGACGTGAAATCGCTGGATTTGACCGAATTCTTAAGATTCCTATGGTTTTCCTATGATTTCAGCAAGAGAGCCCGGGCGGGAAATTTGTACAATTTTTGTGAAAAAAAAACATTGGGTTTTTGATGTTTTTATGTTGAAATGCTTGCAAACACACGGTGTTCGGTAGGATTCTGACATGAACGCGCGCGTGTGCTCTTTGTGGTATTTTTTGCAATGGATTATCGCCGTGGACGACAGGACGTCCATGTCGAGAGGAAAAAATAAGAAAAATGTTGATTTTGTATTGTTTTTTACAGGTTAGGATGGGACCACCCGGATGCGGCCCCTATCTGCCGGCCTGAGGGGGGAGTAGGAGTATATTCTAATAGGAATAAGGTAGGAGTAGTAGGAGTAGAGTAGTAGTAGTAGTAGTAGTAGTAGTAGTAGTAGTAGTAGTAGTAGTAGTAGTAGTAGTAGTAGTAGTAGTAGTAGTAGTAGTAGTAGTAGTAGTAGTAGTAGTAGTAGTAGTAGTAGTAGTAGTAGTAGTAGTAGTAGTAGTAGTAGTAGTAGTAGTAGTAGTAGTAGTAGTAGTAGTAGCAGTAGCAGTAGCAGTAGCAGTAGTAGTAGTAATTGTGGTAGTAGTGTAGTCGTCGTCGTCGTCGTCGTCGTCGTCGTCGTCGTCGTCGTCGTTGTCGTCGTCGTCGTAGTGGTAGTGGTAGTGGTAGTTGTAGTGGTAGTAGTCCTTGTAGTACTCGTAGTTGTGCGAGGAGCTGGAGGAAGAGGAAAATCGCAATTGCGCGGTCACCCGCCAGTGGGGGCGCACCGGGAGCAAGAGCGTGGTGCAGCTCCATGCCATGAACGACCGTTTCGTGCGAGTGGGTGCGCTGGAGAAGGCGGGCGGCATGGGCGCAGAGCTCTTCCCCCGCATCCATTTAGGCCTCCTTCGTCATTCCACTCCTCCATCACGACCTCCTCGTTCCCCCCCTCCTCTCCCGCCCATTTGCCTGTCTCCCTCCCTCACTTCCTTCCATCTCCTCCCTCGCTTCCCTTCCCTCCCCCCTTTGCGTCAACCCTGGCGCCCCACCAGCAATCAGTAAGTCTCACTCGCGTTTCGCGAGTTGCGTGCCAGCTTCATCAGCGCCGAGATCCAAATATCACTCAGTGCTCCTCCCTGCCCTCCATCTTCCTCCCTCCCCGTCCCCTGTGTTTCTCCACGCCCTCCTGCTCCTGCCGCCAGTTTTTCTTCTTGAGAGGCTTCTGAGCGGCTTCAGCCAGGGCCGGCGCCTTTGGTGCCTGGGGCCCTGACGCATCCGTCTCTGCCTCCAACGCGATTGTGCATGCGGAGCTGGCTTTGCGGTCGGCGGCGGACGAGCTTCGGAAGGAGGACGTCGGCTTGCCTTCTCCTCAGCGGATCGCAAGCCAGTGTTCGTGGATCATGCGTTGGTCAAGCAGAGTATGTACCGCGACCGCGGGGACAAGAAGCACGAGCAGCGTCCCGTGCTGCAGCCCAACACCAGTCGGAGGGAAACGCCGGTTCGTAAGTCGCGGATCAAGCCCAAGAAGAAGCCGATTCCGTGCAGGGCTTCAACCTGACTGAGCTTTCGAAGTATACAGTCAACCCGCATAGTAAGGATGGGCAACCTTCCCAAGGGTACCCTTGCATCCTTGCCATCTCGGCCCATCCTTGGCCGCTTTCGTTGGCCGCGGCCCGCTCGAAAAGCTTCGAAATGGGCGTCCAAGGCCCTTGCATCCTTATCGCGCATCCTTCCTGCACAGGTTGACTGTAGTAAGACAACATATGCGGACGATACCGATGCCGCAGGCCCCGCGCGGCGAGGAGGTGGTTGCCCCACCCGAGGTGCCGCCTCCTCCGGACGTGCTCGGTGTGGAGGCCGCTTTGACAGCACTCCGGCACAGGCGCGGACAGGAATGCGCTCAGCAATAACAAGACGTTCAGGATGAGGCAGCGGTATAGCAAGGAGGTCGGTGCCGCTCCGTCTCTCGCCAATCTTGTCCAATCTGATGCTGACAGTGAGCATTCTTTGGATTCGGTTGGTGCTGAACGGGCTGACTTTGACGCTGAAGATGTGGGAACTTCTCGAGTGGATGGACATCCGGTGTGAGGAGGTCGTTGGGGCCTACTTTACGCATGCATTCGACGACCTTCTTTCGGTATGCATCGGTGCTGCTGGTGATGACGTGCCAGTTCGACTTTGCGTTTACGATGGTCCCTCGGGTGTTGCTCTTTTGCTTCAGACCGTTGGGGATCGCGCTAATGCACCAGAGCGGCTGGTGTAGGCCACTGCTGAAGCCAGAGGTGGAAACCCTGACGGGGTTGTCCCTCGGCACCTCTCGAGAACTTCCCGTCATCGCTTCCTCGTCGACCTCCCGTTGTGGGCTGCTTCGGGAGGTGCGGCCTCGCCATCGCGAGCACGGCCTCGTCCAGCCGCAGCCAGGGGCGCAGGCTGGGGGGGCGGGCTGCGCTCCCGCTCCCGCGGGACCCGCGCGCGTCGGCTCCCAGCCGCTACGCCCCCCCCCCCCTCCGCGCGGGCCGCTCGGGAGGGTCTGGTGCGGAGCGGAGCAGCCCGCGGCAGGGGCTCCTGCTCCTGCTCCGCCTCCTCCTCCTCGCTCGTGCCCCCCCTCCTGCTCAGCCCTGCGCCCGGGCGGGCGCGTCACGTGCCTGGGGGACACGGCGCTGCTGCCGCGGGCGGCTCACACCCGGTGCCAGCGGGGCGGGGGCTGCGGGGCCGTCGGGGTGGGGATTGGCCTCTCGGGCCTCCCGTCCTGGCCCGCGGGGTCTTCCGCCCGGCCGTCGCCGTGCTCGGGAGAGCCTGGTGTCCGGGCGTCGTCCCAAGACAGGCACTCCTCTGGAGGGTCCTGTGCTGTGCATCGCGGATCCTGTCGGTGCACTCTGTCGGCGCCAATGCTGGTGCTTCTTTAGTCCTCATTCGCTTGTTGTCGCTCGCTTGCACGGACGGTATGTGGTCGGCCGGGTGGCCAAGGGGAGCCAGAAAAAACTACGTGACCGTTTCCTCGAACAGGTCTCGATTGTAATTGCAAGATTGGTGAACGTGGTCCGATCGGGCTACTCGCCTGCTTGTCCGTGCCCTTCCTCCCAAGGGGAGGGTGGATGAGGATATATTCTAGACGCTTCGCGTAACCCCGCCAGTCGCCGCCTCGCCATTTTGGCTGCGTTTACTTGCTGGTCGCCACCGGGATTTCCACGCCACAGGGTTTGGGAACATCGGTTCTGCCTCTTCTCCTGAGTGGCTGCCCGGGCGCTCGCTTCGCTTACCTTTTTCTTCCTGCTGCCTAGTCGCGGCCCGACTAGTGTTTGGACGGATTTTGACACGCCTCGCGAGCCTGTTGACCAAAAAGTAGCCCCACCAGCTTTGTTCTGCGCGCGCGCCGGCAATTAGGTTCGCTCATAGCCCGAGCCGGCTCGACTCGCCGCTGGCGCCTTCGCCTGCGGCTGCGACAAAAAGTAACCCCACCAGTGTGGAGCGCTTCCTGGTCCGCCGCGTTTGCTGAGCCGCAGCGTAGTTCGCTCCTGTGCGCTTGGTGCGTAATTTGGGCCGTTGCATTGTTGCTTCGTTCTGACGGCGCGCAGCTGTACCATTTGCGCTCGCGCACTAAAAACGTAACCCCACCAGCCCATCCAGAAACGATGCCCACCTGATCAGGGATGTGGAGGAGCATGCAGTGGAATAGCGGGCTTGGGAAGCCGTCGTACCCCAAGAGGGGAAGGATGGAAGAAGAGGAGGAAGAGGAGGATGAGGAGGAGGAGGAGGAAGAGGTGTTAACATGTGAGCATTCAGGTGACTGGGGAGTGAAGGTGTCCCCGTTACCGTTTGGCTCAAGTATTTAACGGCTGAAGCTACCGAGACTTGCTTCGCCGTGCTGAGGTAAAAAGTTGACCGATCGTCATCGCTGTCACCGAGCTCCCGTGCAGAACCCTCCTCGGGGTTTTGCATGGTAGCGGGGCGCGGTTGCCATGGCGGCGGCGGCCGCTGCAGCTAGGCCCGCGCAGGGCGACCCGCCGGTCAACCTTAACGTGCCGGCGGACAGAGATGCATGGGTCAACATGGACCCTAACCGCTTCAACGACCTGTGCGAGCAGGCGTACCTGAACGGGGACTTCAGTTACGTTCAGACGGCGTTACTTGCAAATCATTATGGACTTGCGACATTCATTAACGAGCGAGTAACACAGGACCGAAGGGAAGTATCGAACGTTGAGGCATTTCAAATGTTACAGAGTGCTCAGAAGACCAACAGCATGTTGTTAGCGATAACGAAGAGAAACGCTGCGCTTGAAAGGGATGCTCGCAGATTGGTGGAAAGAGTTACCGAGTTGGAGACCAACAGCGAAGTACAAGAGAAGTTAATTGAAAAGTTTGGTCAGCTTTCGGAAGCAATCAAAGGCGGAAGCGGAAGTAAGCACGGGAGCGGTGAACCGATCAGCGAGTACAAAGCATTACAGGCGTTAAAGAACTTCAGTGGAGAAAGAGCAAAGTTCAGAGACTGGAACGACAAGTTCTTAAACGCGCTTGCCCAAGGAAAACCGAGTTACCGACCGGCACTGAAAATGTTGAACAAGAAGTTGGAGACACTTGACGGAGTTGTCCCAGAGGAAGATGATGATATCATACGCATAATGAACGGTCGGTTAACAGCAAGCGAATACTTAAAGGCAAACCAAGCTAAACGAGCAGAGGATGACAACAAAGGAGATTAGGAGTTTACCGAGGGAGACAAAACTCAAATGGAGGAAGACTTATGGTACATCCTTAACGAAAAGCTTGAAGGTGCAGAAGCAAGGGGAAAATTAAAGGGACTCATGGATGGTGACGGAATTATGGCTCGGCAAAAGGTTTACAAATTGTACTCGGCTGTTACCGGAGCGACCCTTTCCTCAAAGACGACGCGCGCTATGAACCCTGAGCCGCCCAAGAAAATTACCGATGCCGTTGCCCGACTTGAGGAGTGGAGCGCGTTAGCGGAGAATCTTGAAAAGTATGGCAAAGATTACTCACTGCCCCTCCCCTTTAAGGTTACCGCGCTCAGGGCAATAATGGTGCACGCGAATGATTGGTTTGGCGAGTGGCAGCAGGCGTGTTGGCGAACGCCTGACGCACTTAACATTGATTCGTTCCGAAAGTTATACTCCAAGTGTGAAGATTGGGCGCGTAAAAAGAAACTTGACTCAGACACCAAAAATAAAGATGCGATGGACATTGAAAATATTAACGAGACGAGTCAAGGGTCCGAAAATGTCTGGGATCAGACAGGATGGGTTGGCGAAGATGGAAACTGGTGGCCAGAGGGCGGATCTTGGAGTTACGGGTCCTGGGCTAATGAAAGTGAAACTGGAGATCATGAGGAAGTCGACGCCGTAAACAAGGGTAAAGGCAAAGGCTCAGGCCCCAAATGTTACAATTGCGGAGGCATGGGTCATTTAGCCAGGAACTGCACAAAGCCTAAACAGTTCACGAAAGGAGGCAAAGGTGGCAAAGGCGGCAAAGGCAAAGGTTACCGTGCCACCTATGGATCTTGCATGAAAGGTAAGATTGGAGGTAAACAAGGTGGTAAAGGTGGCGGCTCGTGGGGTGGAAGTTACGGTGGCCAAGGAAGATTTACCCCCCACAGCGAGCGTGAATGTTACAAGTGTGGCGCTAAAGGGCACATTGCCGTTAACTGCCCAGGTCCCAAGAAGACCGCCGACGAAGTTGAGCAAGAGAGACCAACGGTAAACGCGGAAAGTGAACAAACCACCTCGTTTGGCCAACCGCAGCATGTGCTCAGTGTTGAGATGAATGATGAAGTGAACGTGCCACCGGAACCGCCCACGGCTGAGGAGATTAACGGACAATGGGCACTGCCCTCGCATTCC